GGGGGGTCCCATCATTCTCTCCGTCTTGCCTGCTGGGACATTGTGTCTATCACTCTTGTCTCAGTGGCGTCGGTGGTCTAGTGGTTAGGCTACCGGACTCGTAATCATGAGATTGCGGGTTTGGGGGTTCGAGCCTCAGCTCGGCCCGACGTTGTGTCCTTGGGGAAAGACACTTTACTGTACACAAATTTCCCACTCGGCTCGGTCCTTTCGGAGACGGACAAACTAGGAGTTCCCGCCTCTTAAATAACCTACTAGTGTTGATAGGGGCGTTAAACCCGTACCATTTCACCATTTTGTCCCGTCTCGGCTCAGGTTGGCCCTGACAGGAAGGGTTGAAGTTGTAGCAGCCCACCTCCTAAACGGTCTAAATTGTGTCAATGGAGGTGGAGAATATTTACTAGACATATTTCTTTTTTTTTTTTTTTGCCATTTCTTGTACATTGGTGGCCGCGTCGAATAATATATGCGACTTTCCCTGCCCTTGCCTTGTGTTCTTTTTTGCTTTTGAAGACAGAAAAAAAAAAGAACAACCTTAAATTATTATTATTGCTGAACAAAAGTATTTGTGATTCAAGTTTTCAGATTTTGATTGAATTAATTGTTTTGTTTGCCATTGAAATGCTGATTGGTGGAATTGACTGCGATGAATAAATTTGATTGTGCTTGCTGAGTGAATTTTTGGGGTTTTGAGGTGATGAAGTGTGTGTATGGCATATACGCATGGTGTTGGGTTGTACAAATCCTTATCTCTCTATCTGTCCCCGGGGTTTTATGCACCCCGCATAATTTAGCAAAAGTGGGTGGTTGGCGGGTGCTCTGGTGTGGTTTGCTCCTTCTTTTCTATTAAACATCTATCGTCCTTATCTCCCCCTCCTTCTTTTTTATGTTTGTTACTCCCTTGTAATACCTCTAATCTTCTGGCGCTCATATGACCTTATGCAGTTGCGAGCGCCGTAAAATCTCTACTAAAACTAAACTAATTTAGCAAAATTTGATCATTTTTTGCATAATTTCTGATTATTTACCTTTAGCATTCTTTGTTAAAATTAACAGAATCGCATAATTTCCTTTATTTTTTTGGGCAAAAAAAACTCCAGGGACAGCTCTATTCTGATCTCGTCTCAAACAAACAGAGTTTACAAGTAGCGAGGATTAGAAGGGAAGAGAGAAAGGGTGCAGAACCAAAAGCTGCCGTCTAATGACAGAAAAACATATAATTATATATGCCAAAAATGAAATTTTGCGAGCGCCGTAAAACCCTATACTACATACATACAAAAATTAAATTTTACAAGAGAGGCAAAAAACTAACTTTTTGTGTGTGCTTCAACTTAATAAATAACTAAAATTTGGTCAGTCTGATTTATTTTGTATCAATATCCATGGGTCGATGTAACTTTTGTCTGATTTTCTGAGATATACTGTAAATAAAACTTCCTTAATTTTAATTGTACAGCCTTAAAACCAAGATGAAAAGAAGAGCCATGAAAAGGGGTTTCTCCCCAGAATAAAAACCCTACTCAACCTAATTACTCATACATATATATGTGAGGCAGCATGGTGGAATCAGGCTCTCGTCAATTTTTGGGCATATTGAGTTATTGGTATTATCTTAAAGCTTGTTCATTTGTCTTGCTTTCAATGAAAAAATTACCCATCCATCTCAATAGAAGTGGAGATATTTTGGATTGAAGGAGGTGGGGGTCACCTGGTTTAAGAGGTAAAATTAGCGAGAAAATGGCCACCAAAGCTTGGTAAATTCCAAAGCTGGAGAGTCCATGGAAACTGTAAATTTATATTTTTGTGCCTTTAATCAACGTTTTCGGTGAAATCCTCAAAGGAATGTATTTGTAAATGGATAAAAGGTGTTTAGAAATTCAGGACAGTTCCCTTCCTCAGAATTACAAAGTTCTATCTGACATCGTTGGCCGTTTAGAGTTACACTAAGACAACGATGTCAGAAACCAAATGTTCTATCCGCTCCACCAAAATCGTAAGATCATTCGCAGACGCAATCAAGTTACATGTCATGTATATTTATAGAATTGCATTCGAAAAAACATGACATGTGAAAATAAAAAATTTTTGTTGCGTCAGATTTCTCAAAACTGGGTACTAACTTCTAATCTTAGCAGACAGAACATTGTACTTCTAGGGCAGTGAGCTGGCAAGTCGAGACACATCTCAGCAGACAGAGGGAGATATTCCATGCTTTTTTTTAAACTTGCCCAGGCGGGGGAATCAAACTCGCATACACTGACTGGGTGCATCAACAAAGAGCCTAACCATTACACCGTACCGTACCACAGATGCCGGTTAGATTGACTGATGAGAAAAACAAGGTACTATTCAAAACACTCACTTTTATTACCACATACAATACATACATACATACATACATGCTCTGATACAAAAGGCACTGTACAGTTGCATTTTTTTTGGGGGGG